TTTTATTGAAAGCACAATTAATGCATCAAAACTTTCCTTCTTACTAGTGACATTAAAGCCATCCTGATCAAAATCTTGAGAAGGTATCGCGGGCATTTAGCTGCTTTTATTTACCACTCATTTATTTAGATAGCAGCGCAGGGGGATGCGGATTTCTGGAAAGCGCAGCACAAATCTGCATTTAAAACTGGAGGTAATGAGGTCAGGGTCCAATTAATACTTCCTAACTTACATGGGTGGGCTTCGGCTGTGAGATGGAACAACCCAGCGTTGCTCTGGGAAATTTATTCCCAAGTTATTAAATACTTCAGGCTATGTGGAATTAAATTAGTTGAAGATAATGATTGTTTGAGCTTGTTGCTGGAAACACGTGCACGCCGACGAGTTGGGCTGATTGGTTTCCTCGCTTTTGGAAAGGAAATAAAACATCTTCAGCATGCAGCTCCCAAAGCATCGAGGAGAAAAGGAAAGGTAAATGCTGGGAGATAATAGCTTAACTCGGTGCCTGTATATCCAAAAAATGCAATTTTGAGTTGTTTCATTTGCTGCCAGATGGTAAGTTTATTACATGGGTTTTGGTTTTGTGAGTCCAGGCAGAAAGGGACTGGCTACAGCAACTCCAGTAGTTGCTGTTAAACTGGGAACAAACTGATTTAATTTCCTATAGCCTTGTTTTAAAGTGATAACCGGCACTCCAGTCAATGTTTCCTACAGCGAAAAAAGAAGTTGCAGAGAGACCAAATAAAACTGTATAGCTGTATGAAAGTAATTAATAAATATCATCTATCACTAACGTGAATGTGAATGCACGAAGCACGCTGGCACTTGGGTGATGCTGTTCGGCTTTTCCAAGGTACGAAACATTTTGGGTAAATTCAGAGGTATGAGTAAATAGAAAAATGACCATCTTGCACCATCTTGCACGCTTTCCTTTTGGTTTCGTGCAAGATAAGGCCGAGTAAATTAAACGCTCATTTGTGCAATGTGTGGGGCAGGCTTTGGGCGTGCAGTAGGCTTACCCGCCGCGGGTAGTGGTGTAAGAGTTGGGTTTTTTGGCGACGCTGCTGTTTGCAGGTGTGCTGGACAAGGGAGAGCGTTGTTCAGGTGCGCTGTAAGCACCCCCAGGTGCTAATGAGCAGGCGGCGCTGCGCCGGTGCTTAGCGGACAGCGAACAAATCCAGGCGTTGAGCTTTTTAGGAAGAATGAATGATGGCTAATGATTATTTAATGACAGATCTCTGCACTGAAAGGCACTTAGCACTCAAAGTGTACTGCAAAGCCTATTTCTCAAAGCTTCCGACAGGTTTATTTGGTCTCACCTTGAGTAGAGCAGTGCTGTATTGATTTCATTGGGGTGGATTTAAACACACTATTGGCTTAAAATAGCACCACCTATGCAGAAGAAAATCAGCGCCTTAACCCTTACGGCTGCCAGCAGCTGCTGGGGAGTGTTTGGGTTGTAGGCTAACAGATTCCTGGCTTATCCTAAATACTGTCACTTTTAATTAACATATACACTGCAAATTTTCAACATTTGTTATCCATACAGGCCATGTGGATAAAGCCCAGGGATTTAAAGGGGGTTCTGACCCCAGGATACCTGGCCAGAGGTGGGCAGTGGAGTCAGAGCCCTGGGATTTTACATCAGATCTTAAATGAAAGACTTGAAAAAAAGGCATTTTTAAATCAAATTTTGCAAACCTTTTTTCTTTTGGGTGGCTGCAAGTCTCTTCTTAAAAATAAAGAAAAATTCTATGCTTACCTAATCAAGGTTATTATTTACCAGGAGAGGTTTTATCATTCTGTTCTCCTCCTTTCTCGGGTGCTGCAGCTGGCTAGCTGCATCAAACCGTGTTCCTGGCACCACAAAGGGAATATGTTATCAAAAAGCAAACCTGAGAAATGTCCTGGCTTTAATAATACAAAGCTATGCGACTTACCCATATTTAATTATTAAGCTTGTCTGTTGGAAGATGCCCCCTGAAATATTAGAAAAATAAAGTTTAAACACTCCCGGTTTTTAGGGTAGTGACAATGCCCCCTTATTTCAAATAAGGCTGGGCCATGGGAACACCCAAGGGTGCCCTCATCCAGGTGGCCTCTAAGCCTCCGGGGCCCAATATTCTCTGGCACGTCGCATTTACACCCCGATCCCTTTTCCTATTCACACGTTTGGTACCGGGGTTGGGTGCTGGTGGTGGTTGCCGTCAGTTTGTGGTTCGGGGTTTTTGGTTGGGTTTGGTTTGCAGTTTCCTTTTTGGGTCACGAGCAGAGCCCTGTGTAAATTCAGTACTGTAAGAAAATAGTGCAGCTGGCATGAAAAATCATGTAAAAATACTGCTAATAAATACGGATTCTTGTAGCTCTTGAAGGCTCTTTTATAAGGTCTGTTATGGAGCAGACAGTGGGACCGGCACAGCACCCGCTGGCACCCAGCTCCCCCAGATCCGCCCTCGGCCCCCATTCAGCCCCATTGATCCCCATTGCGCTTAAACCCGAGGAACTTAATTTGTCTTCTAATCCTTTTATCGTGAGCCAGGATAAAATTAATTTTACCCAGGAACTGTGCAAAGCCAATTAGCGCGATCTTCGGAGTTATTGGGTAAAGTGCTCCGAACTGTTACATTCCCCCTGCCCTCGTGGCTGCACTCTTGGACTGCTTTTTCCACGAAGCAATCGATAGCTCGCCGCCTCTTCAACAATTCAAACTTCGGAAACGCCTTACCTGGATTTTAAACCCTTTAGCAAGATGTTTTGGGGAGGTTTAAGCCTCAAAACCCGGTGCATTTTGAAATGTCTGATGTGGTCATTTCGCCTGGAGGAGAGCCGGAGAAGCAAACCCACGATAGGTTTCTCTATTTTTGCTGTTTTTACAACCAAAATGTCGAGCGTTTTTGTCCTCTCGCCAGCGTAGCCTCTGTTTTCCACACAGAGCTATTTGGGGTTATTAATTTTCTCCCTGTGATAGGGTGATCAACCGTCCTGTCAGGAAAATGGATCTCCGTGTCAGCCTTTAGCATGATTAAATGGAGGCACGTCGCGGGGAGAAAATACCAAATTTTCATGAGACAAATGAAAGTGTAGAAGGGACTACTTTTACAGACATTATTTCATTTGAAAATCTCCCCAATGGCTGTCAGTTTATTTGTAGGAAATCATTGCAATTAATTGTTTGCTTCCGCTAGGCGTTCAGGGAAAAAAAAAGTAAAAAATATTTGTGGGATTTCCCTTTTATTTTAAATTTCCTTTGGAGGGTTTGGGGAGGGATGTTGTTGGGAGGGGACTGTGTTGTTTTTTTGTTTGTTGGCTTGGCTTTGGTTTTAGGGTTTTTTTGTTGTTGTTTTGAGGTAGCAAATGCTACCCTGCAGCAGCGAGCAGGGTGAGGAGCATCCTATGCCAACGAAACACCCGAGGACTGTTTCGCAGCCCGTTTTGGCATCATTTTGACCCAAGGCGAGGGCAGGGGAGTGGCCCCCGCGGTTTAATTTTCTCCTGGAAGCAGCACATGTGCTCGCTCTTCTCTTCTTCCCCTCCTCGGAGCCGTGGCCGTGGCGGCAGCGCCGGGGTCAGCGCCGTGCCTATCGATCAGCACCCCGCGGTCCTGCTCCAGCATCTGCTCCGCTGCCCGCGCCGCCACAGCGCGGCCCCGCACAAATCCATAACCGGAGCTGTGCTCATCCAAGCAGGGCCAGGAACTAAATGAAACGCTCTGAAACAATCTGGGAGCAGGAGCTCGCACCGATCCGTCTTGCTGCGAGGCTGTCAGGGCGGGCACCCGGGCATCTCCCCACGCAGGTGCTGGGGGCACCGCGTCCGCAGGCGGCCGCCCGGAGAGGTGGCTGCGGAGCAATTAGAGCTGTTCCACCTCGCGCTTTGTCTCCTGCGGCCCCTTTTCATCCTCCTTCCTCTGAAGGCAGTTGCTATTGATTTATTTTTTTTTCTTTTTTCCCCCTCTCCCTCCCATTGTTAAGCTTTCCGTTGTTTCCCAGCTCCCCTTCGGCTGGCACCTTGCTGCCGCGGTGCCTGAACGGGGATGCCCTTCCCGTGCTGCTTCCCAAACGTGGCCAGTTCTTTTTGTACATCCTGTATCGTGTCCTACCCAGCCGTGTGAACGTGGTTTACACAGGCAGACACACCGTGCGACTCGCTAATTCGCCCTTCGTTAAGCTACAAACCCGCCAAGTCGCGCTCAGTGCTGTGCGCTGCCTCCTGACTCCTCAGCAAAGATTGGACATTTGTTTCTTTATTCAGGAAAAAAAAAAAGAAAAAGAAAACCCTTCATCTAGTTATTCTAATACAGCCCTAACATTTTTAATTTCACTAACCATGTAGAATGTATAGTTTTAAATAGTATACATTTTATGAGGTTTTTCCACCATTTAGGAGAACGTTCATTAAAATACAAAACGCAACATTCAGTGTACAAAAATACCACTTCAGTTTAATGGCATATACTGGTACATTACAATCTAACAAGCATTGGAATATGGTGGTGTACCCTAACACAAAAAGGATGCTTTTTTTATAATAGAAGTGTATTTATAAAATCCATCCCATAAAACAAATAAAAAGATTGCCAGTCTCCAAAATTCAGCGTTAACAAGAAGCAAACCAAATACCTCCTCTCACAAAGGCAGGTAGGCACAGAATTCCCTGTGTTGTGTTTCGTTTTGTTCTCCAGAGGAACAAGTAAAGCTCTCTGAAATGTTTTTGTTGTTTTTTTTTCAGTGGGATGTTGGCAGTTTTTGAAGGGTGGCTGGCTTTGAGGCTGGCCATTGCAAACGCTGGCGTTTAGACGTCTACGATGTAGGTTTTGGGAAGTAAAATGGCATCATCTCTACAGGCTGCAAAGCCTGGGGAGGGAAGTAGCAGTCCTGAAGGCGTGCTTTAAGTTAAATGAAAACCTCTTTTCTTTTCTTTTCTCAGGGAAGCACGATGTTGGGAGTGTGAAGAGCAGCCCCGCTATTTATTTTCCTCATCCTTGCTGCTTTTCATTTCAGGTTGCCTGTCCGGTCTCCCGCAGATGAAGAAAATCTCGACTTCTTACGAAGAGCGCAGGAAGCAAGCGACTGCCATCGTCCTGCTGGGGGTGATCGGGGCGGAATTTGGAGCTGAAATTGAGCCTCCCAAACTCCTGACTCGGCCGCGTAGCTCTAGTCAAATTCCCGAGGGATTTGGTTTAACCAGCGGCGGATCAAATTATTCCCTGGCGAGGCATACGTGTGAGTATCCGGGGTGCAAACAGCCTTGGTGAGGCCAAAAAAAAAAAAGGGAGAGGGGGAGTAAGATGTCTGTTTTAGTCCGAAACTGATGAATTCAATGGAAAATGCTATATAAAATGCTACCTACTGGTCCCCTGTGAAATGTGGTCCTGCAGTGCTACTGTAATTATCCTCGCAACAAGCAGTAAGCATGATCTTATGCTGTTAGGTGGTTACATATCTGTGTGTTGGCTATTTCATGTTAGCATCGCAAAATCTAACGGCAGCAGCTGCAGCTTCGGTGCCCTGGATTCCTGCAAGTGTTTTGGCGAGGTTCCCGAGTCTGCTGGTGTGTTTTTGTTGTATGTGGAGCCTGGCAAAAGTCCCTTCTCTTATCTCTGTGAGATCTCCCTGCAGCACTACGGGCTCATTGTCAGTATTGCTTGAAGAAAACTCAGCTGTGTGCTTAGCTGTGAAATAATCCCAGGGCAGAGCATTCCTTCTCCTGCCCTGGTGCAGTCCTCACCTGATGCCCAAGTGAAAAACACAAATTATAGACAATAAGCGTGTGGTCTGAGCTCAGAGCTATTCACAACTTCTTTCTCCCAGTGTTTTTGTTTATCTATTTGCTTGCTGGTTCTGTCACATTAGGCTTAGCAGCGCTGTAAGCTCCAGCTTTGAACTCCTATTAATCATCATCTCAGAAACCCGGCACGACTGGCTGGCTGACTGCGAGGCTGAAATTCAGTCTTTCACGCAGGTGAAGCTTGACACGCTAAAATACTGTGAATTTAGATCCAGGCCATGAAGTAATATCTGAAATGGATGGACAGCCAGAAGAAGATCAGAACGTTTTTGCCTGTGACGGTTTGGTGAAAGGCAAGCACTCTGTTGTTTGCTACAGAGACCCCCTTCACATCCCAGCCAAGAACTCCAGGCTGAGGGTATCACTCCGTGTATGTAACAGTGCAGAAGGAATTATAAAACTGAGCAGTTGTTCGAAAATTAAACGTTTCTTGGAACAAGTAAAAGCAAAGCTACACATATGCACTAGGACTTGCAGTTATTCGTTGATTTGCCTTATTTTGACTTTAAGGCACCACCGGTTCAGACGATTCCCCTCCTCTGCTGTGGGCTGACTTCATTAAGATGTGGTCATCTTTCAGTCTTTCGTTATCATATACTGAAACTGAGCGGACCATCTGAAACTATCAGAGAAATGGCATGTGGCCTAAAAGCACCCTAATTTCTATTTCAGGAGAACTTACCAAAATGAATTACTTCTTCATTTACACCAATAACGCGTGCACGTTTTTTGCAGCCTAAGTTGCAGACGTTGTGCTTTCCTATATTTCAGAAAAAAAACAGTAATTGTGACGATGCCTTTTTGAGGGAGCGGAGTTCTGAAATCCATCCAGTGACCTTGCCTGACATCCCGCATTAATCTCTGCTGACCTTACAAGTAGTTCATGAGATATTTAATTATAAAATGCCACCCAAAGAATTTCTCATTACAGATGCACCGCATTGCACTTAAACTGCGGCTAATGCTGTGTTTATAAAGTTAATGGGCTGATAAATCTGAATGACTCCTCTGTCCTGAATATGAAAATCCTGGATTCTGTGGTTAATGCGGTGTATTTTTCAAAGCATCTGCCGTCAATGCAGTTATTAATGATAAGCATTTTGCCCTTTAACTCAGTCAGTGTCATATGTGACAGCACGTTCGCGGCGTTGGGTTATTTATATTGTTTTTTGCAGGCTGTGCGTTCACGCTGCCTTCCTTCCAGAGCGAATTTTCGGGTTCCTGTGCTATAATCCATGGCCATCTCTCCAGTTTTACTAATTTCCTTAATCCGGAGCCAGCCAGCGGTTAGGTTCCTAGCTCAGGCTCGTGAAACCATTTTTTATTTTTTAATTATCTTCTCCCCAGTTTTAAAATACTTAATATGTTCGTACCACAAATCTTGGGGGTACTTCTCCCTCGCTGTATGAAAACTTCAGTCCCAGAGCAGTTCTCTCCCGCCAGCCTGTCCCTCCTCATCTCGTGCCTCTCAACTCTCCGCACGCTGCCTGAATGGAAAGAGCTAGAGATTTACTGCGTAAAAACTACAAAATGGGAAAGATTTTGTGCCCTGTCAAGGAAGCAAGTAGCAGTTTTCTTCGTCTGCAGGCTAGCTGGTGGTGCCACCGCTCCTTCAGACTGCCAGGTAATTCCCCCTTCTTGGTTCATTCAGGTGTTGGACCTGAAGGTTGGTGTTAGTTATGTTTAATCAGACAGAATTTGATTGGAAAACGCCTTCTAAAATGACTTCATCGCTAACAAGAAGAGTAAAAGCCTTCAGTTTAGTTCGAAGAACCACGTGGCAACTGCTACACGAGCTCTGTAACTCCACGTCGCAGGGCAGGGGGCTGAAATCCCCGGGGTGTCACGGTGTCCTGCTGGGCATCTCCTCGTGCCCCCGGGGGGGCCGTGGCTCCCAGCAGACCCACGGTGAGGCCACGTCGCTCCCCAGCAGCTCTTTGCCTGTTGCAGAGCGGGCGGCAGCAATTAGCGCAGACGAGCGGCCACTCAGGATCGTCCCTCGCAGCAGCAATAAATCAGCTGAGCACCTGAACAGCCGCCTTTCAGGGCAAATTAACCAAAGTGGCTCAGTGACTTCATTTAAGAACAAACCGAACAACAACAAGAGCAAACCCGCAACGTGGTGATTAAAGCAAATCACTGATTTTTTTGCTCGTCGTGAGCGATTGCTACCAGCACGTGCCATGTTGCTGGCTGTGTTTTTATGTCATTTATTCAGGAGGATGCTCGGGTCTGCATGGTCCCGTGGTTGGTGGCACTGTGCTGATCCTTTTGGATCTGTGTTTCAATCAACACGCTCTGAAATTCATTACAGATCCAAGGTGTGCTGTGGTTTGCTTTTGTTTTCCCTCAGGTTGTTGTGATTAGATCAGTGGCTCGAGCAAAATTTTGTCCCTGAAGGGAAAAAAAAAAAAAAATGGAAAAATGGTGGTTTATAAAAATCTATACCTTAGCCTTAGAGATAATATTTAGAAAAAATAGTCAATCCGTATGGCAGAAAACAGTCAATCTTTGTGGCAGATATTCTGCCCTCATTTAAATCTGTTGGTGTTTCTTTGTTATTGACTTGAACAACAAAATCCAATCTGAAAAATTAAATTTCCCTTTTTACCCAAATCCTGTAAGGGACGAATGATCCGAATTCGGTATTTTTAATCAGAGGTTTCTTTTAGCATACGTAAAGGATGCAGACAGCCCCTGGCTGCAGCCCCCGGCTTGCGGGGGGAGCCCCAAAGCTTTGCAGTTCTGGTTTTGCTGTGTTTCGTGTGGCTGATACCTGCTTTGAAATCGTGGTTACGTTCACAGACGGTCTTTGGCACAGGCAGATTTGTACTGAAATATTGCAGTGGGCTTTCCCAACCAGCAAACAATAACGTGCACGTTTGGTTATGTTATCTCCACGCAGTTTTACCAAGTTAAAATCCGTGTGTTTTGTACATCAGGTGGGAAAACCAGAGTCACACGAGCCTTTTGCTGCTCAGTGTCTGTATTAAGTAGTGCCCGCGTGTTGTCAATCAATAGTGTGAATGCTTAAAAAGAGCACTTCAAAATAACTTTATGAACTGTTGCTTAATAAGCTGTGACGAGTCAATAAATCAGCCTGTGCTTGCCCTTGTAATGAGTGAGATGAAGGGAAACTCAGAAACTAATTTAATTCATCATACAAATTAACATTATTCCTTCATTAGGCTTGCAGATGCCAAGCCAAGCATCCTTGCTTTAAAAGAGAAGGAGGATTTGGAGTTTCAGCCTCTCACAGAGCTGTGTCCCAGAGTGATCCCAAGCCCAGCAGGGCTGGGGGCATCCCACCATCAGTGTCCCATGGTCAGCATCCCACCTTACAACACCCACATCACTGCAGGTAGGGTGTGTGGATATAAAGGGCACTGGTGGTACAGAGGAGGTGCAGTTGGGGTCCCCAACTCATACAGGCTATGGCATGGACGTCACTTACTTCCCTGGCATTGTGCATCTCCCACCGGTGTGTTCAGACTGAAATAAATAGCATTTATTTCTAACGGTGTTATGCAGTCAACAGGAATGAAAATAACAAGCTTCACGCATGGTTATCAGCCAAGTCATGGTGGCTTCCTCCTTCCTGCTAGATGATAAACAAATGTTGGATTAAAACGATAGTTCGCTCTTTCTAGAGCACCGAAATATAATTCCGTAGTTAGAGGAAGAAAGCATTTAAGCCAGCATAGTTGGGTTCTCTCCATAAATTGAAACAAGTCTGATCTAAAACTCATTTACTGTCTTGGAACAGAATTGATCTTGCTTTCACATTTGATTCCCCCACTGCAGATTTTGAGAGGAAGAAAAATGGCATTGTTAGGTCAGTTTAACTAGGCCATAGTTAGACAGAAAGGACCGGGAAACCAGCTATTACAAACATTTTTCTTCTTTTTGCCTTTGTCTTCCTTCCTAAGGATTTATGTAAAATCTTGGAGGGTTTTAATACAACTTCGGGGCAGTGTTCGGGTGGCCCCACTTACACGAATTCCTCGCAGGTCTGTTCACGTGCTGTGAAAGGCAGCACAGAGCAGCCTGATTAATAGAAATGCTGTGAATTTACCACACCTAGAAATGGTGGTTCTGACCTATTAAACCTCGAAATGTTCAGAATTTACATAGATAATTAAAGCAGAGGAAATAGTCCCCTTACGATTCAATAATATTTCTGATGTTTTTAGGTCTTCGGAGTGAATGATACTTACTTTTGGATCAGATAAATGGCTGAGGATCAAAAAAAAAAGAAACATTTTTTCTTTTATTGTAGGGAAAAAGATCTTAACTGTCCAATGAAGCACCAAGGTGTATACGTGCTGCAGAAACATCATTCAGCAAGGAAACATTTAATTCTCAAAATCCTGAGAGGTTATAAATTTCCAGGCAAATTTTGCTTCCTCTTGCTCACTGACCGAGGGCAGGAGGCTGGCTTGGGCATGTTATATTTTAAATTGTATTATATTATATTTTAAAGGACCCTTTTTGCTAATTCCAAGTTTTGCTCTATTATCAGATAACGTGAGCCTCAACCAACGATTCAAATCGTCTGGCACAAGACGTGAGGATTGCCCTTCTCTAGTTGTCTTTCAAAACCGTGTGGGCTCCTGAGCAGATCTGATAGAGGGGGCTGTACCTGAGCCCTCGGAAGAGCGAAGCCCAAAGTATGACAAGTGTGAGCTGGCCAGCGAGCCACGGGAGTGTTAATTGTTTCCTTTCCCTCTGAAAGGGCTCGGGCTGAGCGAGCTGGGAGCTATTGATTTCCTGTACAGTAAATGTCCTATTGTTCTCTGCCTGTCAGCCTGGCAGGTGGGTGCAGCTTGGGCCTTAACTGCAAAATTTGGCTTCGTCGGGAATATTGAGGATTAATTTTGAGCCCTTGCGGGGCGCCTGAACCAGCACGGGGTGAGCAGGGAGCCGCAGGAAAGCAGTCCTCGTGCGAGCGGGAGCTGCAGATAGAAATCTCGCAGGTATCTTGTCTCATCTCCGCTACAAAATGGCTGCAGCACCAGGCTGGCTTTGCTAAATTCTCTCTCTCCTACGTGGGCATCCTTTTGGCAGCCTGGTGCAAAATGAGGGCTGTGCCCAGCATAGCTGCGCGTCTGCAGATGGGAATTCGGGCAGGGTTGTAGTGGCATCGTTCGGTCTGACCCGTAAGAGTTGGGGATGGTTTCCCTCCAGTCTCTTTGTTTTTCTCCTTGCATACAGCAGCAATGCAAATGGAATTGTAAATTATTTTTTTTTCCTCTGAATAAAATGCAGTCCGCATTATTGACACGCGCAGGAGCTGCCTAGCTTCTTAATAAGCTGTAAACCACGCTTGTGAAAAGAGATTTTAAAAAAAAAAACAACACCAAATATTCATGGCAGTTCTGAAATTGCCGTAGAAGCTGGGGCCGTTGCACCTGTTGCAAGGACAGAACATAAATGATGTGAAGAGATCGTCAGCAAAAAGAAAGTCTCTTCTAGCATAAATTCAGTCGAGAAAATGAAATGCATCAGAATTACATTTAAGGCAAAAAAAGATGCTGGAAATGAGCTCTGTAAAAATTAGGAAATTTGATGCTAAATGTGATCAAAACCTTTTTTCTTTTTTTTTTAAGAAAAAAAAGTTTTCATAATTTTAACTTCAGAAATAATCTTCAAATGGTGCAGCTAGCTATATTTTAATTTAGGCCAGAAAACATTCTCTGCTTTACACCCGTCTGAAAGATGGCACGAGCTGTGCGATAGAAGTTCCCTGCTGTGGGAGTAGGAAGGGACCAAGGGATATGGATTTTTAACCCAGGTACCCAAATTTGTTTTCTTTCTTTCTGCTGGCATTATACACAGGTGTATGTCAAACCAGGGAGAAAACCTCATTCAGAAAAGGTGACAATTTCTTAATTTCTTGTAGAAAAACTGTGCCCACCAAGAGGGGAAGAGAGGGAAGACTGAAGAATTAGTTAGAGCCATGATTCTTCACTTTCTTTTCTTTTTTATGTAAAATCAGAGAAGATTCAAAACAGGTTAAGCCATATTTTCGGAGTCCATCATTTTTATTTAGTTGGAACTAGATCTTGTGGCAGATTATGAGAATGGGAATCAGAGTTATCAGTGTCTTGTTCGTGCCTGTGCTATTGATTTTCCTGAGCAAATTATTTAATTTTTTTTAAATCTATCTGCAAAATGAGGATAACAATGCTGACGGATGTAATATGTTTAAAGCTCCTGAGATCCAGCAAGGAAAGGCATGTTAGAAATTCAAAGGGGTGCGTGCATTCAGAACGGCCGGGTGTGCTTCAGCAGTCAGGTCACGTTTCCATTAACAAAAATGGCATAGGCAGGTAAGACTCGACCCTTTATTTTTGTGTTTGGTAAGAGGAAAAGTGGGCAGACTCCGAAGTTCAGCACTGCTTTCTGGAGGAGGTAGCTCCGTGTGCGCTGCCTTACGGGAGGGATGCTCCCAGTGAGGGCACGTGGGAGGAGATCTGCAGCATGGGCAGATCTTTCTGTAGCCTACATTTTGAAATCATTAAATAATTAGGTCCACAACGTCATCCCCTGCTAGCTGGGGGAGCTCCAGTCTGGTTCTGGTCCCCATTTGGACCTCCAGTCGCTCCCTGGTGCCCCCCCAGCACATCCCCGTGCTGCCCCAGGCAGGGGCTGGTCCCACACTGGTGGCAGTGGTGGTGGCAGTGGTGGTGGCAGTGGTGGTGTCCCCTGCCTCGGGTGGGCAGCAGAGGGGCCCTGCGAGGAGCCCCCATCAGCAGGGCTCTTCCCGGGCTAATTACCTCTTTACTGCGCTGACTCTAATGTGACATGTTTATTGCCTTAACTAACAACTCATTAGCTTAGTTGATGTTTTTGTCAATATTAATTCGTTCATTTAAGCCGAGTCAAAGCTTAAACAAAGATGTCCAGGCTGAGAAACGGGCAGCAGGATGACTTTTGTTTAGTTCATCTTTTTCCTTAGCTCAATTTACACCAGGTAGGTGTCAGCAGGAGCGGGGCTGGGAGCATCCCTGCGAGCAAGGCCGGCGTATTTCATCGCAGCAACGTCCGAGCAGTCACGCTTTTTAATAAGATTCTTGTATTTGAGACATAAAATTCCCACAAATTAAAGCTTCGTGGCCTGCCACGCTCCTTAAGAAGAAACTTCCAGTTCGTTTGTTGCTCACACACCACGGCTCGGGGTGAATTTATGAGTGCAGCGTGCCTGCCGCTGGCTCCCCTGGAAGCCTAAAATGACAGGCGGCGTATTTAATAAAAGAAGAAACTCGCGGCAGACGGTTCTGAAAACTCAAGAAAAACCTGTTAAAATCAATAGGTTATCTTTACTGCAATAGCCAGCTAAATGAATGTTATTAAGAGGTAACAAATAATTATGGAGAGATAATGATAAATTACCTTTACCTGGGAGCGGTGCTGTAGTGTTCCCGTGCATTTATATATAAGCAATTACTTTTATTTTAATGAAAAACTAATCTATCGGATGAAATTATACAGCACGCTTGCTGAGTTGGCAGAACCTGGAGGAGAATTTGGATTTGTTGGCCTGGTTTGGGGCGTCGTTTCTCTCGGCTGTATTTCTCTCTAAAAGAAAAAAAAAAAAGATACCGCGGGAGGAAGGGCGAGTTAATCAAGGTGGAAACCAGGAATGTGGTGTAATCGTAGCAAAAGGGATGGGCTCATTTCACTCCGCTGCCTAAATAAAGCATCACCCGTGCATCTAACGCTGAGGAGCTTTCCGTAGGAAGTGTGTTTGGCCAGGGAGGAAAATCCCTGCTGTAAAATCAGCGCTCTGCTTTCCAAAGCACCCATGCCTGGGAGCTGGTGCTGCCCGGGCCGCTCAGCGGGGGGCAAGAATGAAGCGTAAATTACCAAATATTATAATATTGAAGCATTTCAATCATGCTTTCAATCTGAATTCAAAAGAAATCTCAGTTTTGCTGCTGTCTAGCCGTCAGATTGCCCGCACCTCGCAGGAGCTAACCGCGGCGAGCAGCCCAGCGCAGCAGAGCCGAGGCAATTCCCCAGCCCCCTCTCACTGTGCCCCTTCTCTCCCGTTGTGCTGGGCAGGCAAGGCGCTGACGTTCCTGCTGCTGCAGCCGCCGAGCCCCAAGCTGCCCGCGCACAGCACCATCCGCAGGACTGCCATCGACCTGATCGGCCGCGGCTTCACCGTCTGGGAGCCCTACATGGACGTCTCCGCCGTGCTCATGGGTCTGCTGGAGCTCTGCGCCGACGCCGAGAAGCAGCTCGCTAAGTAGGTACCTCCTTAATGCACTTCCCAAACCCTTGTGCCTTGCAGATCCTGCTGCTAGAGTCGGTTCGAGTACAAGTAGCTGTTTGGTGGTCATTCCTTGGGCCACAGGGCACGAACCCTCCGGTCACATCAGCAGTAACTTCGAGAAAACAAATGAGTGAAGGCACATCCATATCTAAAATACATTTTTCCATTATTTAAATATAAATATAACCCTTTTCTAACCATAAAAGTAGCCTTTTCAGAAGTTATTTTGAACCAGCGTGTGTCAACACATGGATTTTTGTCCCATGGTTTCATGAGCCATCCTATCCGAATATGAACTGGTTTGGAAAGCACACTTTGGGAAAGGAGGTTGGGTGGTCACGCTGTTAATTAACACGCTGTTAATAGCATCAAGGCAACTTGCAGATTTAAGGACTGCCAACAAATCACGAACTCAATAGACCACAGCCTGTCTCTCGGGCCAGAGGACAACTTATTCAAGTGTCCCAAATAAAGATTTATGTAGAATGCTGTCTCAAACATGTTCTGGTCTCCTCGAAATAAATCCTTTCAGTTCAGTATTTGTAGCTGGGTCTGTAAAGGAAGGGGTGTGTGAATTTCATCGTGACGTCTGACACTTCAGCGTAAAACACATGCTAAAGATGTGATGCTGCTCAGATGATGTTTCCTGTGCATGGAACTCAAAGTGCACATATGTTCAGTAACTTAAAAATAGCTGGAACTGCAAAACTTCAGCTCTGTCTGTGCAGCACCGGAATAATGTGTCTGTAAGACTCATCAGCTGGATCTGCTCCCTAAATGTTTAAAAAAAAAATATTAGACATAAGATGATAGGCTGATGAATTAGAGTGAAATAAGAATCAGCTCTCTGAATTTGAGGATAGGATTCTGATTTTTCCTGCCCTGTTTATTTTTTGTTAAATCACAGAAAAGTATTGCCTTTACTTACAGGGTGGCAAACAGATTTTCACTGTCTCAGTGCCAAGCAAATAAAACCTACAATGCCAAAGCTACTGCAGTTAAAGGACTCACTTTAGTCTCTCATGAATGGTATGGTGTAGTAATTGTTCTAAAATTAGTACGTGATTTGAAAGATCATCTTCACTTCAGGGCTGCCCCGCGGACAGTTTGCCACCTGCCGGGGTGTGCATCCAGCTTCCTCCCCTTGTAGCGTGCAGCGTGTTGCTGGTCGAGGCAAACCGTGCAGCTCTTTTCCCTATTGTTATTTTCAGTTCGGGTCTTCTGCTCGCTTCATTTATCACAGACGAGGCTCTGCACTTGCTGGTGCCATATCCTATCAATCACAGCATGGGATAATTATGGCTAAATGCCTAGGTGAAGTCATTAAGATGACTTGCATAATAAAGGTAGCGTCTTACACATTTTCTGTTAAGATCATGGACTTCTTGAATGTTAGTGTTTGTTTTTTAATGTATGTGACTTTACGTGAGGTGAGTAGCATTTCTGTTGAATATCCCCAGACTTTATGATACGAGAGCCAAGTGCAATAAACCGGGGACCAGATTCTCACACAAATAGTCTTTGCTCGCACTGTTAATCTGATTAATGGCAGCAGAGCCATTTGCACAGTAACGGGTTTTGCAGTATAGTCTTTATTTTTATTATTGTTTGCTGTAAAATCGACCACCTTCTTTGAAGAAGAATAAATCTGAATAAATTTTTATTTAGTTCTTATCAAAACAGCAAACCACGCAGGTGTGCAAAAGGGAAGGCTCTGATTTGTCTGTAGAGATAGAGTAAAAAGAAAGTAAGCAGCAAGCACGGCAGGCTGTTTGCATGATGCAAAATGATGCTGCTATGCTTTATGGGCTTTCAAAGCTGTTTCAGGCTTCCTGCTTTTAATGTAAAACCTTGAAAAATATTAGTGGGTGTACATTAGCGCTGTTGAGACAAAACTCTCATTTGTCAGTACGGTTATTGCACAGGAATGAATTAATCCCCAGCTACAGCACAGAAAACGTAGCTCCTGCTCTAGGTGGAGCATTGCCCTCAGCAGATCCAAACTTCGTATTCATTTGGTCGTTGGTATGAATTAAATCATAGTATCAGACTATCAGGCATCTATTTGGAAAATAACTCTTACTAAAAATATTTAAATAATCTAATGAATAATTTTCATCACACAGAATAAGAAATCATTGACGGTTTTTCTAACAGAAACTTAAAATGTTTTTGTTTCTTAAGTTTGTATTCTTTGACTGCGGTAATTTCATAACTCCAATGCCTAAAAATTCCAGTTCTGAATTTTGCCTGGTGGGATGTTTCCCTGCAGGACACGAAGCCAACTCTTCAGCTTGTGCGAATCGTGGTGCTGCTGTTGATTTCAGCACAGCTTTCCCAGTTTGCTCCCGTTGCAAATCTTTGTGTCTGGCACCCCAAGCGTTGTGTGAATACTCGCTTTTATTTTTTTTTAACATATTTCATGTTTAATTTTTATTTTATATAGTGTTTTCTACATAACGTTTTAATTAGTGGTATTCCTTAAGCGTTAATTAGTAAACCACCCATTAGTTAATAAACCACTCATTAATGGGGAAGCAATTTCATTCCTGTAGGAAGACTTCATGGCTGCTCTGTAAAATTTTATTTGCAAGGTTTTTGCTTGGGAAAAAAAAAAAAATCTTTTGTCTAAAATTGAATAGGTCATCGTAATTGATTATTTAGGTATTAATTTTACCTAATTGCTTTTCTCAAAACGTGGAGGTTCCTTTTTCGGTCGGTGCTTTGCTTTGTGGCACTGCTGCTCTCTGTCGAGCTGCTGGATCCATCCTGAAGCGTGGGGGAGAAGGAATCGTACGTCAGGGGGAAGGAAACGTCTGCCTTAAGCTGCAGGAGGCCTCCAGCAGTCAGGGAATATCGACAGGGACGGGTAATTGTGTGGGCAGCATAAGGTACTCGGTTATCATCCAGATATTCTTCTTTACAGCATTGCTGGAGTAAAATTGGTTTTGGTGCTAAAAATATTCTAAACAATTATTTTTCTCTTCCGAGCCTATTGTTTGGTAAATCACAGCAAATGCTGTTCTGTGGCGAAACCGGTGTGTCCTTGTGATTAGAAACACCTAACACCTCACAGTGATGTTAATAAATAAAAATAGAAAGGCACGTTTTTAGATAATTTTGGTTTTGTCAAGGCGTTTTTTGCTGGTAGTAATAACTCCAAACAGCACGAGCACTGGTAGAAGCCCTGCTGTTAACCGTGGTATTGAGAACTGAGCTCTGAGAACCGCTGTGGTAGGGACTGGGTCTTATGAATGAGGTTATTAATGGTTATTAGTGAAGGCACGTGCGTTTTACGTGGTGTGAGCAGTGAAGGGCTGCCAGGTTTGTCTCAGCACCACGTGTGTGCCTTGACATCGTGCGTGGCCGTGCTGAGGTTCCTGGCTCTCTGTTTGTGTTGCAGCAGGTCCGATATTAGCGATTCTTCACAGCGGTGTGAATTTCCCCGGGCTTTAAGGAATGAGCGATCGCTGTGTGTTGGGGGGTTAATGGAGAAATATGTACAAACTGGGGGGAGGTTGTTATTTGTCTGGACCTCAATTATTTCTGGTAGCCTGACAGAGCAGCCCAGGCGCTTTACCTTGCCCCATTGTATTTAAATGTGGGCTCGCACAAACCGAGGGAATACAGTTCTTCAGCACGTAATTTTCATCCCGCTATTACATCCTTAGCTGTCATAAAGATTAGTACGGCTCTCTGTACCCAGAGCACTGAATAAATGAATGTATCAGCATGTAGCCTTGAGGAGCCCGATGCAATTTTCATCATGATAAATTGCATAATAAGCGAGAAAGTGTTTGCTTATTAATCCATAACAAGATTTAGATTGAAAAGGGCCTGTTACCTTCCTGACAGATACAGTACTGACTGCAGACAGGCTGAGATGGAAAGAAACAGAGCAGCAACGTGTGCAGGGGGTTAAGTGTGCATCTTACCCTCGCGGTGCCCTGCTGAGCTGCCCCTTTTTGTGCCTGATTTACCGTGTACACAATAACAGAGCACAGCTGCCCGGCTTCTCTCCCCGATGTTAAGAACGTTTTATGAAAGAGCTTTTATGTCAAGCTTGTGCTTTAAGAAGGGAAAAAAAAAAAAAAAACGCTTCACGTTTATTGACCAAAAAAAGCGCTGTTTTCTTTTTTTCCCGACTGAATTAAAGAAATATCTGAGCTGAAATCCCAAACTCTGATATTTATAACTCCTCCGCTCTCCCAGTTCATCCCAGTCCCCAAAGGCCGCAGCGTGCTAGCCAGCCGTGCCGAGTGAAGCTGCTCAGGCATGAGGATTAAGAGTATTTTTCTAGCATTTATTAGGCTTTGATTTCATGGCGTGGCTGACTGTAGGGAGCGGTGCTGCCTGCGATTTCTGCTCCTTGAATTACAAGCTACACCGTGATACAGATTGTGACACCATCTACCAGAGTTAACAAATTACCTTTTACTTGATCCGTATGTTTATATGTAAACGTGTACTGAAAATTGGGCTAAATATTGTTAGTTTTGATTGTGTTTAGTGGAAACCTTTAGTTTTACGTTCACGTGAATTGCGCCCGTGCAAACGTGTGCTCTGTAGTAGGGACATCCCGAATTTTTCAAGTACAATGGAACAACTTTAGATTATAGGCTAAACAATTGCAGAAATTGAGGTTTTAAAAGGAGAAATGAGAGCTGGTGCTTGGTCCTAAAGGTGATGAAGCAAGCTGGCGTGTGCTGCAGCGACAGCAAAGTGTTAAGCGAGGAAGAGGAGGAGGAGGAGGAGGAGGAGGAGGAAGCTGAGTTCCCAGCTTCATGCTGGGGAGGAAGTTTGGGCCCTTCCCCTTTGTTCAGCCATCGCTTCAATGCACACGTCAAGAAATGTAGAGCTCTGATGGCCAGATTTTGTGTTCAGCACCATCAACGCCTTTTCCTTCCCCATTTTTCCTAGAGGTTACCTGCAGCTCTCCTGACCTACCTGGTTCATTTTCACTGGTTTCTAGGATCAGCTTTTAAACGCACCCTCATTATTTCTGTAGTAGTAAAGTACACGTCTAAAGAAGGTTTAAAATAACTTATTTCAGACAGGTACGTTGTAGAGATTCCACTCAATTCCTTAACAACCTAAAATGGTTTTGTACATTTTAAGAGCGCCAGTTTCTATCTAAATGCTTATCCTGATTTATTTACTCTTTCAGCTGCACAATTGTGAATAAGATTACGTGATTCTGCGAACGATTGGAGTAACAAAATGCTTGAAAACATGCCTGCTAGTAAGAATCAGCATCCCTGTAAGAAAGCTGATGAAAAAGACAAATGAAGAACTACACAGAGTCTTTGGACCCCAGATTCTTACTTCTGAGGTTAATTTGTCACAGATTATAATTGCTATTACTATTACTGTCACGAAAATTACTACAAAAAATAGTAATTCCCCTGGCCCTGTAGGGTCGCGAGCAGTGGGATTCGGCCTCCTACACGTCAGCCAACAGTCAGAGGCATAAAGAGGTGTTAGAGGAGGGCTCCTGCTGTTGCGTGCAGGTGGAATCTTGTCTCTGGTGTCGGCCATGTGCGCTACAGGATGGGCTGCAACCATTTTGTCTGTAATCATCCCTCAAATGTCTGCTGAGGGCTGTGGTGGGAGGCGGGGGGCGGCAGGGACAGCACGTGTCAGTGCGGGGCCCTCCTGATACCCCTGGCCACAAGGACGGAAGTCTGGGCCTGAAGGGCGGCCTGCCCTCCGTACGTTGGGTTTGCATCTGCCCCCATTTTGTTGGGGCTTGGTGCGGGGTGCCCGCTGCCTCCTGAAAGGGGCCGTGGGATGCAGCTGGCGGCCCGGGAGGGGGCTGATCTCTGCCCACATACTGCCACTGCTGAGCCATGCTAATGAATTCACAACAAGCCTGTTGCTTTGCGGGGAAGCGCACGCTTTACCAAGCACCCTGTAAGGAAAAGCGCTGCTGGCACAAACGGGAAGCCTCACAGAAAAAAGGGCCGAGACGTTGAAGTTGTGATTGCTTGAGGAAGATAATGAGTCTGGGCTGAAAGGCTGACTCTGGTACCTGCTTCCTGCTTCATCGCTTCTATCTGGAAAATCCTTACGTGACTTTTTTAAGTCACATTCAAATACGCTTTTACAAATAAAAAGGCCGTAGGGACATCTTTATGGTATTGGTGCAGAGACTTTCATTTTCAAAAGCTGTAGTTTTGATCTATATACATGGGAATAATAATATCTACACAATATACATGGGAAAGGAAATGATAATAAACTTCGGTTTGTATTTTTTTGAATTCGGGTCTCTAATGGTAATCTGTACCTCGTCTTGTTGTTGCTCCAGAAGAATGGTTCATTTGGCAGAGAACACTTGAACCATGCTGAAATTCTTTGTTGCGAAGCATTTAACTTGTAAGCATCCAGGAAAAAAGCTCCCATAAAATTATTTTTAAGGACACTTAAAAATCTTAAAAGGAAAAACAAAAAAAGAAGAAAGGAAGGAGCGATTAAAAAGATAAGTAATTTAACTGCTCAGTTACAACACTGCCTAAATTCTCTTCTAAACCATAAGTGGACTTTGCAGTGAGCTATTTATTTGACTTTGTAAACTTCTGCTACTCTTAAAAAAAAAAAAAAAAAAATCAGTAGAAGAGCCCCGGGGAAGAGAAACCCTTCAAATAGTGCCCGAGGTGACATTTTCAGTGCATCTGATGAAATGACATGCCACGCTTACTTTCTCTTACCCACGTTTTTACATGTGGTCTTGGGGGAGTGCTCAGAAATAAAACCTTTGTGCTTTCCATCCTGGCTCTGAAAATGCAGATTTCCTTCAGTCTCGCTTCCAGATAACGTTATGCTGTAGACTTTAGACCTTTTTTCATGGAATAAAGCTATCTTGTGTTGTCAACGTGCACTTAAATGCCATAGTTTAAGAAAAAGTTTCGGTTTTATTAATACTTAACATGTATTTGTAATGCAAACAGCTGAGGTGTAGAAATTCCTTTAAAACGCGATGCCAGTTTGTTTTGGCACTGCTCACTTGGGTGTGTTCTCACAAGGTGGTCATCCTGTGCAACGTGGGAGCCCCTCAGCTTCATCCCTGGCCTTCAGAAAGAGGGAACACTGATGGCTGAGCACGGCAGCATGTAGAAAAAGGCTTCATTTTCACAGAAAAACGAGCAAAAGAAATAGCAGAGAGAGAGTTTCAGTGCGTTCTTAAAAATAATTTGTCATGATTTAGTAAAACCTCTGGGGAACTGCGCTGTACTCATGTGGCTGACTGGTACCAGGAGGGAGCAAAAGAAAATAACATTTCTTTTGTCTTTATTTAAGAAGCAAAACAAAACCCTAGTGCTGCTTCTTGGTGAAAGTGTGGTCATAGCAGCAGAATATATGTTACAGAAAACTTGAAAATCTTTCAGAGCTGGCAAATTGGTTTGTCTCCCTTTCCTTTCTGCAGCAGACCTGTTGGAGTAGACCTCTGTAGGAAGGGCTACGTGGTCAGACTAAACCCAACACTGGTTCCCAGGTGCTTCTTCCCCTTCTGTAAAAGCCCAATTCCAAAAACGTGTTCTTCCCTCTAGCTGTTTTCTGCCATTTCTTCTTCCCACACTGCTGCTGGTTTCTGATGGGGAGTTGTTCTCTCCTGGTGCACCAAAGCCAGCAGGTGAACACTGCTTTGCCACCAGGGTCTTCTCCCATCATCATTAACCATCATTAAAAGGGTTTCTTCAAGTGTTGTTGAATTTTGTAGTCCAGTTCTCAGCTGGATCAGGTACACCTTTATGCAGTGGTTTGGTCTTCTAAAGGCGTAGGGTTGTGAACCCAAAGAGGTACCTTGGGGGTGGTTTATGGACTGTGAGTGCAGGAAGGATTGGTAGAGTTGCTGGATAATGCCCAATTAGCCTAACAAACACCCAGGCTGCTGTGGCATAGGGAATGGTGATAGTTAAAGAAGTAGCATGTTAAGAAATTAAGCTTTCAGACCAAAATTAGCTGTGTATCTTTTTTGTCAGGTAACACACTGTCACAATTACCAAATACTGGATTTTACTTTTGCTTAATGTAGTTACAAGTTACTTACTGTTATTTTATTGTTTCTTACGTTTATCTTCTCATAGCAAATAAAACGCTGTGTATGGAAAAATTTGATACCACTTAATCCCTTAGTGTTATTTGAAGGCTTGCGGTAAAAACCCGAGTGTTAGAAATGCTAAAGAGCATTAGAATAATTTCATAGTAAGTAGGAAGTACAGGGTACGAGGCTGTCTGTCATCTCTTCATGCTTCTGTAACTGAGTCATGCGCTGAATAAAATCACACTGAATAGATTCAGTGGCTTTAGGTCTTCAGGAAGCTTCTCGCTTTAATCTCCTGTAACCAGCGCTTAGCTGAATTAAGTAGAATTACTATAAACGGGATATTTTTCACCCGGCATTTAAGATTTTGTAAAGGAGTAAAACGTAAATTCTTTGGGAGACATTCTTCATTTGCCTTGTCCTCGCTTCTGTGATATGTATTCAGCACATACAGATAATTTGTTAACAAGGCCTTTTTAACACTTTGGACAGATGCACATACTGTTTTCAATCTTCATGGTTAATTATTCGATTTTGTATTTGATGATAGAACACCCTGACTCCTAATCACCGCTCATTGTTGGGAGTCCATTATATTCTAACTGTTTGAGTGCTCCCGTTGACCTTGAACCGACATTATAAGCTGTTTCTAATCTTTTCACTCTATATTTCTAATGCTCCTTTTCTTTCTCCCCTCTTTGTCTGGTGCCCGTTTAGCATCACAATGGGGCTGCCCCTGAGCCCGGCGGCCGACTCTGCCCGCTCGGCGCGACACGCTCTCTCGCTCATCGCCACGGCCAGACCACCCGCCTTCATCACCACCATCGCCAAGGAGGTGAGCTGGGCGCTGAGCCCTCGCAGCAGTCCTTCTGCGAAACAGAAGCAAGCCCGCGTCCTGCCCTTCCTCCCCAAAAGGGAAAACGAGCGGGCGAAATGTTTGTGTCCCCGCGGATTGCTCTTTCCAGTCACCCGTAATTAACGAGCGGTTTCGTGCTGAACTCAAGCCGTTGAGCCGTGCCTGGCTTGATTTGTTGTCTCCTGACGAACTGGTTATACAAACTTCAGATAGCGATGTGTAAAATCCCGCTTTCTTTCGGCAATGCAAACACCACCCAATTAAGTACGAATTCAGACTGGGTGGAGATTTAGCCGTGCAATCTGGGGGTGAGGAGTGGGGACAGTGCTGTGAGGTTAGTGTAGGGTGGGCACTGTCCTTGAGAGCCATTTAAGTAAACCCAGGGTGCTTGGAGCTTTCACTTGGCCAAAAAAAAGGCCTGTTATAAAGCAGACATTTAATACTCAAAGAAATATGCAGCAATATGTGAAAGTTATGTAACCAGGTCCCAAGAATGTGCTCATCTTGACCTCACATTTTACAAGATTGAGAATTACAAAGGTAGACCTGTGTTTAAAAACTGCTACAAGGATAACCAACCTTTAGCTCTACCCATAACGGGGTATGGGAAATAACCCGTATGTCTCAAAGGGAAGCAAAACGTTCTGCATGGTACGGGCTCTCAAAGTAGCATGCATATAACAGTAAGCAGAGATGGAGAATATACAGCAAGGCACGTTTGCATAAACCCTGCTCTTTGCTAGGTGCACAGACACACCGCCCTGGCTGCGAACACGCAGTCTCAGCAGAATATCCACACCACCACCCTTGCTCGAGCTAAAGGAGAGATCTTACGAGTCATTGAAATACTTATTGAGAAGATGCCTACCGACGTCGTGGACCTTCTGGTGGAGGTGAGGCTGTGCTGCCTTATGTCTTTGAGGTTTCGATGCAGCAGTGGGTAACTTACTGGCCTGGACTAGCATGATAGAGTTTCATTCTGTGTATTTGGTAAGCTTACGTTTACCAAAAATTACTCTTTTAATTGTTTTTTGGTGCTCCAAAAGGTTCGAGTTGCCAGTACCATTGCTGTGGTAAACACTATTACGTGCAAGCCAGTTCTGGTTTCTTTTATCCCAATCATACTTTAAATTAGATATCAAAGCTGCAGTCAGGCCCAGAAATGTTTTATTTTTGCCTGTCAGAAGGTTTATTATGAAATATGTAATATCAAATAACATTAACTTTTGTTTCCGAGGTTATGGACATCATCATGTATTGCCTTGAAGGATCTTTAGTTAAGAAGAAAGGTCTTCAGGAATGCTTCCCAGCCATCTGCAGGTAAGCTCTTCCCTCAAGAGTACAGTGAAGAAAATTATAAGGTCACCAGAAGGATAAATTTCTTACTTGGAGTGAAACAGTCTTTTGTGTGGTATTTGCCCCTTAAAGCAGCAAATGTGAAGAGTGGTCACCTGTAAGCCTTTACAGGCTTTTAATTTACATTCACATCTGACAGATGTGGACCAGAAAAGTGTTAACAACTCTTTAAAGTTCAAGTATTTTAAAAGTCCAGAAAGATGAAAATTTGTGTCCTGCTGCCCCTTCCTACATCCTGGCTGCTCCACTGGAACAGCTGCACAATCTGACCAGGTTAATTGTACAGATTTCTTTCAAAGGGTGTATAAATATCTTTGTTGCTGTTGTTGCAGTTGTTGCAAAAATGATAATAACATTCTTGAGTAATAAGTTAAATTCACGTGTGCAGGACCTGCTTGAATTGAGCTAGTTGACATCATCATGCAGGCTGCAGGGAAAAATATAAAAGGGGCAGGGGGGATGTGACTAACATGGTGAGAGCAGAAAATAAGGATCTGTCTAGGAGTATCTGGGAGCCTAGTGGTGGCGGGTTGTTTCCAGATACCCTGTACAGCTGGCGGGCGCTGTGGTGGCTTCCATCAACACCTTTCAGCCAGCTGCTGTCTGTTTGCTGCCACCAAGCCAGGAGCAGCCAGTTTGAGGTAGGTGGCAGAAGGTTTCTAGGTGTGCTGAAGACACATGCTGGCCACACAGGCACTGCTGTCCTAGGGGCCCCAGCACCATGGGGGTTCCTGGTCCCTGGAGGTCCGGGTGCTGGGCATCTCTCCCACTGGCAGCACTGGACGACGTGCAGTCTGGGAGCAGGAACAGAAGCTGAAACAAGCTGAAAACAACAAGTGATAACTGCAGAAGTCACAGGAGAGGAGAAGGGTGGTTGTGGTGGTCCCCTGTGGTCTCATGTCCGTGTGGTCAGAGGGTGCCGACAGGCACGAGGGGCTCCCACTGACCCTGGCAGGGAGCTGAGTACAGGCAGGCGATCTTGTAGGCAGCTCCTGCTTTACTCCACAACTGGTACTCCTAATAGTAAAATGGGATTTAAGACATGTGAACATTTACAGCATCCTTAGACTATGATAAATATCCCAGTCACACTATTAAACTGGCACAGCCGATAAATTAAAACATTCATCTCTCAACCATTACATTTTAATTTAATAAGCTATTAAAATATTGAATAGTTTCAAGAAAAGAGCTATTATCCTGTTGACAGATAAGATACTGATAGAGGTAGTCTTCTTTCTTCCTGATCCTTTAAAAGGCTTAATTTAACATATAAATGCAAGGGCAAGTGGAATTAACGCAAAAAATCTCCCTGTTTCTGTTGTACTTTTATAGTTATAAGTTATCTTAAAATTTTCTTAAATGACGAGTAATATTTCCTGTTACATGTAGTTATAGCCACAGTAAAAATGATCCAGCACCCCGCTGATGTGATCATTCAGCCCAATGGAGATTTTCATAAGATTTCAGCAAATCGTTGGATGTCTGGAGAGCCTCCAAGTGGAAGCATTTCAACGTAATCCTACCATTAATTCTTTTAATATCCTAATGCTGCATGGCATTGCGTGGGTTAAAGCCCCAGATTATCTTTCCTCTCCTTTTTTCATCTTCTTTCTTTTGCTGTTGCACAAACGGAGCAGTCGTGCTGCTAATTGCATGACTCGGTCCTGATGGGTTGTGATGAAGTAAATCCGTCACCGTGCAGCATTTTTTATTGCATATGGTTATGGTTTTCCCATAAGTGGTATTTTTTTTATAGAGGATTGTCCTGCCTTTTAGCATCCTCTGTGCAAACTCATTTCTTATCAAAATAAGCTCTGCCCTCGCAGAGCTGTTTGGGACAGACGTCAGGCTGGTGCTCATGCCCACGCAGGAGCACCTTCAGGTTTGTTCCTCTCCAGCCCTCCTGCTGCTGCACGGCCCGTTTTGGTGCCATCAGTGTTAGTAGTGACATTGCAGCGTGGCTGTCCACGGGCACGAGTGGGAGAGGCTGGTGAGGGAGACAAGGTCAGGGAGACGGGACCACGCTTGTCTTTATCCTTGTACACATTGGTTTCATTTGGAAAATGCGGGGAGAAGGATGCAAGCTCCAGCTCGTCCTTTCATTTGGAGGATTAGCTGGTACAAGCGATCGCAGCGCTGTTAATTTGGTTCCAGCAGGATTCCCCCCACGTTAAATTGAGCTGTCTTTTGGCTGAGTGAAGTTTCTCTGAAGAGCAGTAATGGAGCAGCACTCAGAGCAGGCTTTCCATTAAGATGCCAATGATGGATATGGAGGCACCAGCTAGGCTTGCAGAAATGACTCCGTAGTGTAGTCTAAATATATGCTGGCATATCATTCTCTATTGAACTCTACCATACAGAGGTTTAGAAAGGGAGGCAAAGGATTAAAATGTTGAAATCTAGGGGTGGTTGCAGAAATACCAAGCTAACTAAATGATAAAGAGCGGGGCTAAAGAGCTGACAACGGAACGTCAGTCTAAGGAGGAGGGGGGTTATATCAAATTAAGCTCAAAAATGTCTATTTCCTGGAAGCCTTTTTTTCCACAAATCCTCTGTTGTTCCGGAGACTGATGGATTCTTCTCAAAGAGAAATCCTGACTCAGCTCTCTGTCTAAAGGGGCATTTAAATGCAGCAGGGAGAGAAGTGCTGCATGCTCCCACATCACAGCCAGTGTCTGCTGGGGGAGACCAGCCGACTGCGCCCACTCAGAAATGTGATAAAGGGGACATAAAACATCTCATGTAGAAACTTGGTTCTATTCTGTTTTACTCATGACGACAAGACGTGTGTATTTCTATGTAAGGTTGAAATAGCCTTACAAATAGCCCCCTCCCCGTTCACCTGAGGCACCACGGTAACTGTGTCGGTGACTGCAGTTTGGCATGAAATGGTGAAAAATGGGAAAGCTCTCCCATGCTATTCACGGTATAGGACATGCTATAGACCCTGTGGGTACCTGTTTGCCCACAGCATTAGCCTTTTTCTCCCCTATTTTTCATGACTGGCTCTTGCCTTTCCTGTTCCCTATCTGCTTACCAACAGCGTTTGTTTTTTTTTCTAAGCACTCTTTTTTTTTTTTTTCTTAAATTAAATAAGAAGATCTTGCTGCTGTTACCACTAAGTAACAAACAAATAAGGTGTGTTGCTGCCCTGCCCACAGGCTCTGTGACTGTGCAGGAAATCATCCCTTGCCTACACGGGTTTTGGCTTTGCCTTGCCCTCCCGAGCTGGCGTTGCTCGCTGAGCTGCCGGCTCTTTCACAGCGGGCTCCTTCCCTTTGATCTGCCTCGAAGCCCAGCCAGCGAGGTGCAGGCAGGGCGATGCAAGGAGGATGCTCCTGGAGCTCGGGAGCAAAGCTGGAAGCTGCCTGCCTGGGACCAGGGGCGTCTGCGGGGCCGGTGGTCCTCGGGGTGCGGGAGGACAGGGGTGCAGAAGTGCTTCTGAGCTAGGTCCTTGCCCCTTCTCTAGCACAAAAATGAATGATTTTCATTTCCTTGTGTTTGTTTGTTTGTTAACACCGTGTTTGGTGCTGTTTGCCTTCCCGAATCCATCCCGCGCTGCAGGAAACAAGTGTAGCAGCCCTGTAAGAGCAGTTGCTATGGCACTCTGGGAATCCCTGCGAACAAGGAGATGGATCATTGCAAGATGTGCTGTCTGAAGCCATAAATGTGGGCAGCAGCATATTTTTACAGACCGATTCTAGCAAGCTCGGGCAGCTTTTGCTATAGTAAAATTTAACTGAAAAATTAGAATTAAAATTTAAGTGGAAAAGCAGGTGACAGTTTTCACGGGTCTGTTCTTCCTTTGAGGAGACAGGCATAAATATCCCCAATTGTTTCAACTGGAATTAAGGATTCTGATTCTCTTGTGTTTCAAGATTGCGAAATCCAAGGAATTTCTCTATTTTTTGTGCTCAGATTGATAGCATACACTCACATCAAACTTTAAGGACTCTCACATGCTTCTCAGCTCCCTTTCACCTGAATATTGTTGTATTAGAGATAGTTTGATGACTTGTCCTTTTTTTTTTTTCTTTTTTTCTTTTTAATTTACATATTTTTCCCTTTAGCTTCCTTGAACCTTTCTCACTTGATTTTCAAAGAAAAATGCTCTGAAATCGTTCAGGGTGTTGAGATTGTCTCACGTAACCCTTCGGCACCCAGCATTATTGTGCTGTAAACAACGCTTGCACATGGACATTGCAGGAACTGGTGATTATTGCACAGATTATTCCCACACTCAACAGAATTGCTGTAACACTGTTTAGTAAAAATAAAAAAATAAATCCTATCAGATTCTGCAGTAATGAGCCAAACACCAGTTGGGTTTGTTTGCTAAATGCCACGTATGAAAACTGGCAGCTGATGGATTTTGAAATCAAATCTCTGTTCCAGCACTAATGTTAATTACCCAATGGCATTGCAAATTAATTTGAACATCATGCAGGCAGGTCAGATCTCACCTGTTACTTGTTATAATGTTCAATTCAGGTTCTACATGGTCAGCTATTACGAGCGGAGTCACAGAATAGCAGTTGGAGCTCGCCATGGTTCAGTGGCCCTCTACGACATCCGGACTGGGAAATGTCAGGTAAATAAATCATTGTGACTTCCTCCCCATAAAGTGTGGAAGTTATTGAAAGGAAAGAGCAGCGAGCTCTGCATCAGTTGACATGCTGAGCTGCTGGAACATTATGGATAATGCTAAGGGGATCAATAGTTTAATGAAGGACTCAAAGTATATAGAGCCCTACTGTCTTCATTCACTGGAACTGAATGGGTGCCACAGATGGGTTAATAATGAAAGCCTAAAGTTAGGTGATACCCTTGCTCTGAAAGAAATGAAAAATCTGATTTGAAAAGTTAAGCTTTATAGAAGCATGCTTATCTACGATAGAAGTCCCAAAGAAAATCTACTGGTTATTTCTTCCTAAAACTCCTCTCTGAAATGGCACGGTGCTGCCATCCGAGGTATTTGCACTTCTCTGATATCAAATAAGATACATGTTCTCCTACCCCTCACCTAGGAGAGGATATGTGTGAGGATAACATTGAAATGAGCGCTTTGCTTGAATTTGCATGGAATTACAAATGTTGAAGTAACAAAGCATTTTCAGAAAAGTTAATTGGTGGGACTCTTTATTATTCCTCGTGTTGTGTGATCCACTATTTTTCCTCATTGAATTTCAGTAGTCATGTAAAGCTTGGATAAAATACCTGTATTTTGAATCTGCCTTATTAGTTGGTTTTGGTTGTTGGCTGGTTTTTAGTGTTTTGGGGAGAGTTTTTGTTCAGTTGGTTTGAGGATTTTTTAAATGCAAATGTAATTGTTGGGTGCAAATATGTTTTTTTGTTTCTAAACGTGGACTAAAAGGACTAGATCCTTAGTCCTTATAAAATGTGCATTATAGACAAGGTAGCATAGATTTCTTTCTGCTAAGTCTGCAGTGTCACTTAGTACTTTGCTGGCAGCACTGTGTGCCAGCAAAGGTACACATGGCTGGTTCATTTTCTGTTCTGAAATTTTGGTTATTTCCCAAAACTAGTAGCTAACAACGTTGTACATTTTGGTATTTTTTGTTTAGACAGCTGTCTGTGGAAGCTGAGCTGGCCAAATTTATTTCATAAGAGCTATATAATGCAGGCAAAGAGTATCAGTGGACTGTTCTATCTTGTTTTAGATCATTGTTTGGATCATGATTTATTAATTTAACTACAAAATTACTCCACAAGAACTGCTTTATATTGATATATCAGATGTCACTGAGCATTTTTGCTGCCTTGCAGTCCTGTCATCAGCACCTGGCCAAGATTGTGCCTTGCTGCACACAGCTCTCTGCGTTCCCGTTTCCAAATATACATGTTGCATTACTTTTTCTCCCAGCTATTCACCAAGCAGCATGACAAAGCAGTTAGTTGCTGAACATCTCCTTCTGGCCATTAAGAGACACCGACCACAATTCCTTTCTGTGTGCATCATTGCACCGAAAATTGAGAGTGCAAAGTCCAGATAAGTCTGCGAAGTCTTGGCATCTCAAACTAACAGCTAGTTCCTGATCCTGCTGGAGAGGAGGGGGAAAAAAAGCACAAGCATCCACGTCCTCACATCTCTCTGTTTTCAGAGCACCAGGAGATGGGTGACAAAGCCCATTCTTCTATGTAGCATCAGTACTTAACCAGTGCTACCGGCCTTGCATTTTTAACTTTGTCTCATTCATACTTTATCTACTGAACTGGCTCCAAGGTGAACAGAGGTGTTTGATAGCATGTGGAGTAATTAGGAAAGCTCTTTCTTGGCAGTGTGAATTCCAGATGGCTCTGTAAAGCGTTTTACACAATCTGGTGGTCTACAGGAGTTTTGCAGAGGACCAGAGTTCTTTTAAAATGGATTCTGTGTAATGACCACCAGCTCTCGTGAAGGTGATTGTCTTGATGGTTGCAACACTTTTATCTGATTTAGTGTCACTTCCGTGTTAGTTGGCGTTCTTTTGTGTTTGGTTCCCGGAACTAACTCCAGATTTCTGCCAGTAAATTGTCTGAATAATTCACTGCCTTAATTTGATGCGTTAGTGAATATTTGCAGTACTTGTTTTCTTACTTTCTTAGTAAGCTTCCATGTAAGGTGTGGAGGGCAGAAGAGGGTATGAAAGGAAAATTTGAACAGGATTCTTTGCAGATTTTATTATTCATAAGATCAGAGAAATCTGTTGAGGGCCACATATATTATTAGGGGGCAACGCCATCTATTGGATACAGATTTCTTATTCCAAATCTAATCGTTTAAGTTATTTCTCCCAGTTACACATTTCAGGCTGCTCAGAAGACAGGAGATAAATTTAGGATTGTGTAGAAGAAGATAATGTTGCAAAAAGCTCAAAAATCTTCTGTTTTTACAAAAAGTTAAAGCTTTTCAAAGTGTTTATCAAAATATTTTAATTGCTTAGGTATGTTTAAATTGAGTATGGCTTAGAGCAGTTACATGGGAAGTGCCTTTTGGAATCGAGTCCTGCTGTAAGGCAGAGCAAGAAGTCAGTCAGTCCACCCCGCTGTCCATCTTAAGGTCATTTTTTTTTTTTCTGTTTATAATGTTTATTGAAAGACTGTAATTACCAGAAGATACAGGATTTTTTTTAAAGGCTTAATATTTGCTATTTATTTAAAAAAAAAAAAGTCTTTGAATTTTATTTTTCTGAAGCTGTAAAAATAATTTTGTATTTAGTAAATATGTTAACATTTTGAAAGTAAAAGTTTTAAACAGATATGAGAGTTGTATTAGCTACCCTCATGGTAATTCACATGTAACCCATTTTTAATCAGGGATAGGAAGAGGTGGGAGCAGCTCACTTTTCCCCTGACTTGCACTCATCATTAAAGGTGTACGTTAATTGAGCTTGGAGCCGAGATAAGCACAAGGGGAGAACAAGATGCAGGCATTGCAGGTGGGACCTCCTGGGGACGCAAAGGCTGCAGCAGGTAGGAAGGGCTGGAGCAAACTGGCCTTCCTGGCACCCAGTGCTCCGAGGGAAAGTCGGTTCCAGAATACCGACGGGTTAAAATATCAAGGGTTAGAAATCTGTTCTTCTATTCCCACCCCAGTGTAGGTATGGTTACTTAAGCCTCTGTACCAACATTGACCTTTATCTTAAATAACCATTTCCTCTCCTTGGGTTTTGCTCTCCTGTATGTGCAGGCAGCCTTTGTTCTGTAAGGGGAGAAGAGCAGAGGGCTTTAAAACTCCATCACTGGAACATTCTCCCCATTTTCGTCATCATTCTTAGGCAAAATATTCATTTTTTATTCCAATCTTACTGCTTAGCTTCCCAAATCTTTCTTTCTCACCTTTGTGGAAGCACACACATGCAGGGCTTCTACAAGCCTTCCATGTGAGTGTTTTTCAAAACAACACCCCACGTTATGTCTCACGCTTCTGGCACGTGCCGGTGTGTGAAGAGGAGCTTCCCCTTCTTCTTAGTTTCTTTACTTATTCCTAGTACGTTTTGCCACGTTTTGTTTTCAAGTCCCAGAGGTAGCACCTCTCAGCTCAGGGCGTAGGTCTCGGGTGGCCCTAACAGCCGGGGCTCAGGAACCTGCGGGTGGAAGGAGTCTTTGAGCTCCCCGTAGCACCGAAACCGACCTAAACCACCGCTCATTGCCTTGTGCAGCAGTTCCAGCAGGCACCAGCAGCCGTGAGTGCTGCAGAGCGCTCAGCAGTCACAGCTCGCTGTCGATGAGAGGATTTCAGTTGCAGCCCCAAGCCTGGCTCACGCCGGGAGGCCTGCAGGCGGTCTGCTTCCTCCTCAGCTGAGGGCCTCACCAAACCCACTGCTGGGGTTGTTGTTGCCAGCAGCATTGTCAGCATTTCCCCCATCTCTGTGCCATCGTGTCGTAGTGCTCCATGCCCGGTGCTCACACAGGGCCTGGTCCTGGGGTGCTGCCTCAGCCCCTCAGCAGTGTCGGGAAAGCTCTGGGAGAGCGGCAGCAGGACCAGGCGACACTGCTGACACCTCCACAGCAATGAATCCGGTACATCACAGCATATAAACACATCCCAACTCCAGCACAGCGCTGAGATCCGCTCCCCACACGTCCCCTGATCTCGCCGGGGGATCTCTGGCGGCCGCGGGGCTGAGGCGGGCGCTGTGCCGGGAAGCCCCTCGGCCAGCGGGGCCGCGGCACGCGTCTGCTCGCCCCCGCCTGCTGCTGATGTCCGCGCTGAATAATTCATGAAAATATAATCCGATAACTTACTGCTGCGCATACTGAAATAGTTACGGTGATGAAAATAAGGCTGAAGAGGTTGTTTTCTTGTTTCAGCCAGCCACGCTAAAAATAATAATCGACATTGCTTTTAAATCCGGGTGATGGCAAGATCCGAGGAGTGTGGCTTTTTTGTATCACTGTCACAGTTTACACTTGGTAGAAAATTTCATAGTAATTATCATCAGCAGAACAAACTGCTATCCCGAATATGTGCCCTGCTAAATGTGGTTATTTTATTTTTTACACTATAGGTGAAATAGGGCAGGGATTTTATCATCTCCTTGAAGAAAAAAGGCAGGCTTTTTAGCTGTAATAATGGAAAACAGAAGCATTTCATGTTTTGTTTTGTTGTTGTTTTTTTTTTTTCCTTCCAGCATGTTTTTATTTTGTTTTCAAGAAAGATGGTTGTACATACCGACTGAGAAATTACATCTAATGATTAATAGAATGATGGATGTCAAGAATCACCTTTTTGAGCAAATAATAAATCAACATTTATATATGATACTTTTTTTTTCCTGAGAAATTTACAATATTAGTATCACTTATTTAACAAAGTGTCAATTATTAATACTACCAGTAAAATGTTGCCTCAAAGCCAGTTATCTGCATTTCAATATTTTGCGTTTGGTTCGCATCATTGTTACTGCAGATACGGATGCCTCTATTAACGTGTGATTTCTGCTTAATAATTTAAAATATACATTATTAATTATCATGCTTCAGTTTTTTAAACTGTTCTACATTAAACTCTTATGTTCCAGTATCTATCTTACTCATTTCAAGGGGCTTGGATTTTAGTTTATTGCTAAGGCGTTGAATTGAAATGAA